CCGTCTCGGCCCCAGGCCCTGCCGCCGCCTCAGACCCTACTTACAAGAGACGGCAGAAAGCAGCATGGTGTCAGCCCCGGTAACCTATCCACGACCGGCCTAAAAACCTGAACTGCTTCCGGCGCATGAGCCGGTTCCGGCAGAGGGCTGAGGAAGTTGACAGAAGCCACGCCCTCTCCTGCAAGCCATGGATTCTCCGACTCCGAGCTTCTTTGTCAGTGAGTTTTGTGGTATTCTGGGATGGACCCTCCTCCCTGCAAAAGATAATACTATACTGCCTAATATCACAAACAACACATCTGCCTGGCTCCAAAGCCTGGTGCCTTCCCATTAGACACTGATCTTCCTTTTGTTTGGCCATCAATTTTTTTTTATGCCTGTGTAAAGAGTCCTACTTCGTTGTTAACTTCATCCCCCCAACTAATAATCAGGAGTTTATCATTTTTGCTTTTGTTTTTTCTTAATTTTGTGTGTTTTACAATAATTCTCCCTATTTTATTTTAGTTTTTCGAGACAGGGTTTCTCTGTGGCTTTGGAGGCTGTCTTGGAACTCTTGTAGACCTATTTTATTTTTTTAAATAAATTGTTCCTAGACTTATTTATATGTGCCTGGGTGTTTTGTTTGCATGCGTATTTGTGCACCACATGTGTGCCTGGTAGCTGAGTTCATAAGAGTGCATAGGATCCCCTGGAACTGGAGTGTGAGCCACCTTGTGGGTGCTGGGAACCAAACCCAGGTCCTCTACAAGAGCAACAAGTGCTCATGTGCACGGAGCCATCTCTCCAGCCCCATTTTCTCGTCGTTGTCTGAAGTGATCTTCCCAGTATCCCTGTTAGCCCTATAATAGTATTTCCACTTCCACATGAGGAAACTGAGGATGAGAGTGAGTCACTTGACCAAGGTTGTTCAAGTTGAGAGTGGAAAGTCTTGCTCTTGAACACAAATCTTGTGAATCCAGAGGTTATAGTTTTAAATCTTCAAATACGGCAGGCAAGTATTGAGTGCTAGTCTAGCCAAATCAGAGCTCCAGGTTCAGTAGAGACCCTGTCTCAAAATCAGTCAATAAATAAATAGAGGTGGAGAGGAAGGAACCTGACATTGGCCTCTGGCCTCCACACATGCACCACTGCATTTGTGTACACACATGTAACACACAGACACAAAAGAGGTACCATGTGAACAGCCTTGCATTCGTAAATGGAGTATGAAGGAAACGATGCCTTTCTCCCCCATTAGTTATACTTCCCTGTTATTTATTCTTAAGACATTGTTGGCAGCTGGTGAGTTGAGTAAGATGGTTACTAATCCAGATGTAATTCATGATTTGCTTTTTCTTTCCCATTTCAACTTACATATTGAGCCCTCTATACTTTATGAAGTGCAGAACAGCGAGAGCATCCTGACGTCCCAGAAAGGAAAGGTGTGATTCTATAAGGAGATGAAGCACACACACCCTCTTTGGGAGCCGGAGGGGTTAAGGGAGAAGCAGATGGAGAAAGAGAGAATCCACACTGTGTCCTGGGTTAAACAAAGCACCTGCCTAATGTTGATTAACACTCTATGCCCAGCACTTAGCGATGGGATTCAAACCTCTTCTCTATGCTGGGAGGCCCTGACGGCACACCATCCAGCCCGCTGTCACACATATGCCGTCTGACTCATAGCTGGGACATAGAGCTATCATTGTTGTCCACAAGGTCAGTGAGGTTAGCTCCCTAACTATCCCACAGTTCAGGGAACATGGTTATTAGAGGAAGGGAGATCACAGGAGAAAGTTGAGTTTCCTGCACAGAGATGATACCTGCTCAGTTGCCTCCAAGCAGACCCAGACATTTTCAAAATCAGGTCTTCTGCCTCAATAGCTTTCTATTAGAGCAAAGGATGCCTTGGAGAGTAAGGCTGAAGGGTGGAGATATGCACTGGGTTCAATCTGTGTGGAATGGGTGTCCTCGGGTTGGTAGTCAACACATCACCATTATTTAACCCTGCCATCATGACTCAGCCCCACACCCCTTCACCAAGGTCTGCTATGGGTCAATACCTTTAGAAAATACTTCCTGGCCCGGTGTGTCCCATCTCACCACACACTTGCTCCCACTGTCCCCCCAGAGCAGCTAGTAGGCTTCCCTGCAGTCTTTGAATCACTGGCCTTCCCCATCCCCAAAATGAAACCATAGAGTCCAGTTTGTGGTGGCCAGCTACTCCAGAGTATTCGGCCTGCTTTGGAGCGTGGTTGATATACCCAGTATCTATCACTCCATTGAAGAAAACTGATTTTTCTGTTCCCAGCAGCTATCAATCACAAATAGCTGCTTGGTTAGGGTTGGAACTTTATGTCTACTTCCCCTTCTCATGGAGACTGTGACAGCGAGCACAAGACCTGTGCAAGTTCTCATGGAGACTATGACTGCAAGCACAAGACCTGTGCATGTTTGAGTCACACAAAATCCCACCCAGTTTTAAAATCCCTAGAAGATTCTGAGATACAGCCAAAACTGAAACTACTAAGTAGGATCTGTGAATTATAGATGGGCTAGTAGGCCCCAAGTTCAGGTGTGTCTATTTCATTCATTTTGCATGATGAGCCGCCCTTACCTGCGTAGGCAGAAGAGGGGAGAAAGTGGCCAACTTGAAAAAAAATGAGGAAGTCTTGAGTTATAAGCAAAGGGAAAGGTGCTGTCCCACATTCCAGAAAGCTCTAGGGCACGTAACTGAGGCCCAAGACAGAAGACCAAAACCAGGAAGTTTAATGTTACCAGAAAAATTAATGAAGGTCCTGCGGACAACACCCTTCCCACCCACATAGTTCACCTTCCACAAGAAGAGCTAGAATGGCCCTGACAGGAACAGTCTTGAGAAAGTCAACGCATTCGGGCTGATTGGTGGTGATGGATGGAGAGAACTGTGGGTGCTGAAGTAAAGGGTGTGGAGGTTTAGGAGGAAATGGGCAGAACCCACTTGGAGGAGGTAAAGGGTGGGGAACTGGTCAAAGACAGGAATTCCTCCCGTGGGTGGGAAGCTGGGCTGCAGGCAAGGCAGCTGCTGGAGAAGCAGCTGCTGACAAAGACCTGTCCACAAAGCCAGCTGACTCTGCCTTTTACCACCAGCCCTGGGACGCCCTAGCGTTCACATGTTTGAGGGGCAGGAAGTGTAGTGAGGTTTTTGATTGTTGTTGTTTTCTCTCCTTTGGTGTCTTGTTTAGTTGGCTGATTGGCTTCTTTGATTTTTTTTTCTTTTTTTGAGACAGGGTCTCACTAAGTATCCTTGATTGGCTTGGAGCTTTCTATGTAGAGACCAGGCTAGCCTTGAACTCACAAAGATCCTGCTTCCTATGCTAAAGAGTACTGGAATTACAAATGCCTTTGCCTACAAAGCCATCTCACAGTCCCAGTTTGACAGGGTTTGGGCTTTGGTTAGTTTGATTTTTTGTTGTTTGGGTTTTTTGTTTGTTTGTTTGTTTGGTCTGGAACACTCCAAGTAGGCTAGATGGGCTGGCTAGCAAACACCAGGGATCTCCCTCTCCCGCCCCCCCATCTCTGACTCGCCAGCTCAGGGTTTACAAGTGCACACCACCATGTATGCTGCATTTTATATGGTTCCCGCTGCCTCCCTCCTAGAACTGATCGATCCAGCCACAGCTGCCAGTTCCACCTGAGAGGATTAAAACTGGGCTCCAATTCTCAGCTCTACCAACTGCTTTCCTGGAGAGATCTCTGAACTTCTGATTCCCCTGCTCCCACCTCCCCCAGGGCTAGGATTAGACAGCCTCAGTTTGTAATGGGATTTATGTGATACTCAGTGAAGCCCAGGCCCCCGGCTGACCATCATCAGATGCATTCTGCAGCCTTCTCCACAGTTACGTGAACCTCGGAAAGTGTCCTCCCAAGATGCTTCCCAATGCTGTCAACCCTTGTGCCCAGCTGAATCATTTAGGGTTCCCATAATATGCACCCATGGATAGACAATGTGGGCCTGGGACACTTCATAATGGTCTCTGGGTCCTTTAGGTGGGGCATATGATTTGCAAATGGTCATCCTAGATCAGGGGGACTCAGCACCAGGTCAATTCTGAGCCAGTGGGCTGAAGTGAGGCCGGAGATTCTACATCTCTAAGGGGGGATTGGACACTGCGATGCTGCTGTCTGTATACTGTTACTGCTCCAGGTATGATCGGCCAGAATCCCCAACAGCAGCATTTGAGAGCTAGCTGGCAATGCAGATTTCAGGGCCCTTTGCTGGCTTCCTGAATCACAGTCTGCATTTTAACAATATCCCAAGGTGAACACAAAGCACTGAGGCAATGTTCTAAAAGGAGTGACTTACTGCTCAGATAACAAAGGGTGAACAGGATTCATTTGAGGGGGGGTTCCTCTCTGTTTTAGGTACTACTATATTTGTGGGCCTGATACAGTGGCTGATGTGTAACAGTTGCTCAATGAACACTTATTAAGTGAATGGACAAGTTAAGGGTTAGTTTTACGTCCCAGACATGAGGCCACTATGGGGCCAGTTCCCAAGAAGTTAGGAAGATGATGTTAACTTCCAAGGCAAAAGTCTTTCTGGTCTTCTGCCTAAGGCAAGACTGGTCCTAATGTTGGCACAGAACGGGACTTACAGCCACATGGGGCAAGAACATATTAAACTGTCTCATCTATGGAGGGCAAGAGGGTAGCCATGAAGAAAACAACCAAACAGGCAGGTCTGATAGATGGGCCAGAGGCTAAGCCGGTGGAGAGTGGGAAGTCGTGTAGCCTCATCTTGACGAGGTTCAGTGGAGCCTCCTCAAATGTGCTTGCAGTAGGTAGAAGAGAATACACTTGCCCTAGGTGCTAGTGTCTCTGTTTTACATTTGGATTAGACTTGGAGGCCGGGATATGTCGTTCATTTGTTAGAGGACTTGCCTAGAATCCCACATAAATCAGGCATGGCAGCATATAGGCGGAGATTTTCAGTCCTGAGGCTGCTCTCAAATAAACACACTGAGGCTTACCTTAATTACAAATGCTCGGCTGATAGCTCGGGCATATTACTCGCTAGCTCTTACATTTTAAGTTAATCTATATTCCTTATTTATGCTCTGCCATGTGGCTGTACCTTATTGGTCTGACACGTTCATCTCCGGCTCCCTCTGCGTCTGCTGGTGACTCCTCTGACTCCA